TAAGGAATTTAATTAAGTTAGTCTTGCTTAGTTATGGGGCTTGAAGCCAACCATATATTTGTAGAATAATAATAATAATAATAATAATAATAATAATAATAATAATAATAATAATAATAATAATAATAATAATAATAATAATAATGATAATGATAATAATAATAATAATAATAATATGTTAGTATGTTAACACAAGTGGTAAGACTGACCATGTAACATATAATTATAATTTTTATTAATATGGGGCTAGTGCCACTATGAAAGTAAGAAAAGCGAATATTTATGGGGCTGAACACTACAAAAAAAACTCTTACATTCCAACGGAAGTTTTCCGTTGAAATTTTTTATATTTTCCGTTGTAATAGCTATTCCAACGGATATTCCTACCTATAGAAATTCGTGGGAAAAACGGCCGTTGGAATAGCTAAAATCCAACGGAAAATCCTATGGAAATAAATTCCTACAACTATTCCAACGGAAAAAATCCGTTGGAATTCCTCAACAATCCAACACTTATTCCAACATAAAATTAAGTTTGTTGGAATATTTATTGGAATTTTCAACAGAAATTTTTGCCGTTGGAATTTTTCGTTGGAATTGAAGTGTTTTCTTGTAGTGGAAACCACCACAAAAACAAGATAGATAGTATGAATGAACAAGAATTTAGACATAAATGAACAAGAACGTACATATGTACGAACCTTATATTGATAATCGGTGTTTGAAACAATAATTACTCCATGCCTTCAAAGCTTTGAGAAATCATTTGAATATATAATACTAACACTATACTAACAATACATATGGGATTTGAAAGAGTTAAGAATTTGGGAATTTGAACAAAGAAAAGAAAAGAAAAGCTTTACAAGCTTAAACGGTTTTGAATGATCTCGGCATTTGGAGAGAAAAGAAAGAAGAGGGGAGGAGAGGAGAGGAGAGAAGGCTAAGCTTATTAGGGAAGGAAGAGAGAGTAGTGTGGTGTGTTCGTGTTGTAAGAGTTGTGAAGTACGGGGTGGTACTTATAGCTGGGCTTTAAGACATGGTGGGGTAGGAGTGGGGTAAAAATATTTTTACTTTTTTTTTTCATGACTTTTTTTATTTTTCTATTCATCTTTTTTGATATTTTCAAATTTTCTCTTTTGTTTTTGATTTTTTGGATTTTTATTTCTTTTTTAACTTTTTTCTTGATTTTTCTTAGATTGATTTTTTATTATTTTTTTATATATATTACATCTTGAATAGAAACAACTAAATCCTAGGAAATAAAATACATAAATTACAATACTTATGCAATTTTAAATGTCCAAAAGTTCGTTCGAGAATCTATCCTGCGTCGTCTTCATCTTTCGTGTCTTCAATCATGTATGTGATAAGGAGGCATGTATGTTTCTAAAGAGATAATTGATTTCTCTTTCACCCATCTTGTACCTATTTAAGTTGTATTTGTACCACGGTCTTAGTTCAAACGGGATATAGAAGGGTGGTTTTGTTTGGTTGCTGTATACATAGAATTTATATATTTTATTCTGGTATGTAAGCATGTTGCCTTCTGTCTGAAGATTTTTCTCGTCTAACTTTGTAGCTACCATGCTAGCTTTCCATAGTGCGATTTGTTCATTAAGGAGGGTCTCACTTTGAAGGTTGTAGTAAAGACCATGTTCTTGCGTTCAAAACCTACAGGTGTCACTGGTGAGGAGGATAATGTGCTTTGCTGGTTCGAATTTTGAATTTATTCATTCTGGAGCTGTCGACCTGATCCTAGCCGTGACATAGGCTTTGTTCGGAAAATATAGTTTTTGTTGTTCAAACATGTATTTTTTTACTAGGAGCTTGAACTTTATTCCCAAACATCTTTCATATAACAGGGCTTCATTGGATCCAAAATAAATATGGTCAATAAGACCATGGTCAAGTAACGTTTGGATAGTAATGGTCACGGTAGGAGTTTGGATCCCTAAAGGATAGTGTGTTTGGAATTTTTCAAGATCAATGTAACATTTTGGGATTCTGTAATCAAGGGTGCATGAGCATCCTTCAGTGAATTCTAAAGGAAAGTTGGTCTCGCAGATGATAGATGTGGTATATTTTGAGTCCATGGATCATGTTTCTTTGATTTAGGATTTTGTGCAAGATTTGGTGGATCTCTACCTCTTTTGCTTCGAATATTAGTTTTACAATTCCGAAGATATAATCTCTAAATTCCCAAGGCAAACTTTTCACCTGTGGTTTGTCGAGGAGAAGATTCTTGGGAATTCACTTGAATAGTGTAATGGATCTTCTCTTTGAATTTCTAGTACTTTCTGTTGTTTCCATGAGAGGTGGTAACAGGGAATCCCATATTTCTCTTCATTGGTACTGGTCGTCCTAGAGTATTTTCTTGCCAATTGGTCTTCGTACTGGTCGTCATAGAGTATCTTCTTGCCAATTGGTCTTCAACATTATTTAATCTTGAATCAAGAATCTCATTTACCAATTTTAACTTCTCTATTTATAGTTCCAAAATATAGTTTTCGGTTGATAATATTACAATCTCCTTTGGAACATTTGATGGATTTGTTTTCTGGTATTGGAGTATATTTCTTTTGATTTTTTGAAGGGAAAGGTCAATAACTGGGGTAGGTAGGTTTTGTCGGGCAAAATCAAGGGCGAGTTTGAGAGAAGAAAACCGGTAGTATTAAGTTCCTGGAGTGACCCAAAGCTCATCGATGCAAAAAATTCTTGGTCTGAAACCCCTTAGTACTACTAAATAGTCTCCTCTGACTTTATGTAGACAATACCATTCCAAGGCTTGTAGGTTTCTAATTTTTTGGGGTTTTGTTTTGCTATAGAATAGGTTGTCAATTAGGACTTGCTGATCTATTGATAATTTGTAGATGGTTTTGAATTGGGTAAATGTTTCTGTTTTGGGGTATATTGAGTATGAGAATGGTTTTTTTGTCTCTAACATACTTGTTAAGCATCGTGTCTCCAAATTGATTGTAGAATTTGTCCATCTGCAAGGATAAACTCACAATTTTATTAAAACAAATTTCAATGTATTTTTTAGTACCAATTTTTATGTCAAGAAGAATTTGAAGTTTTGTGATAATGGAACGATTTTTATCAAATGAATAATTTCTTCGGGTTTTTCTAGGTACAAGTTATCTTTAATTAGACTTTATAGTATTCTTTCGAATAGGATAGGTTTTGATTAAATTTAATTTTGCAAGTTTTGATTTTTCAAGAAAATCAAATATAACATTTTGTTATTAGTTTTGAGAAAAATAGATTTGTTCCTATTGTATAAGGGGTAATTAAATTTGTAAAAGTAGTTCCTACGATAACTGTTTGATTTATGTCTTTGACAAGGACAAAAGACAATTTTGGTAATGTACCATTATTAATGATAATGACTTTGGTTTTTGAACTAATATTTAATTTAAAATCTACATGGAAGTTTTATGTAGTTTCATTTTGAAATACTTTTGGGACAAGACCATTTATGTCTATATCAATATCAAAAGGTGCAGGGGTATTTAATCTGGAATTTGTAGATAACTGTATAGTAATATGTAAGGTTATTACGAAAAACAATCTTTTTGAGCGCAAATAAGTATTTATCATCAGTAGAATTTATACCGCATATATATGGTAATTTACTAACTAGGGTGTTCAATTCAAATTTAACCACCTCTCCCTTAAATTGCGCAGATTGTGGGCTTTCAGTTCTCAGGTTTTTTGAATAAGCAGTATATATTACGTTTATATTCGTATATGATCAAGTTTTTTTTGAATACGCAGTATATATTGCGTTTATAGTTAGTATATACTCAGGATATAACCCGATTATTTTATATAGCATTTTTTATTTAACCACAAGTGTTATGTTTGAATTTTGGTTCATTATATTGCGTTTATATCCAATATATTTAATATATAACCTATCATATACATATCATAAACTGATCATAATAATTATTTTAATAAATTATTTTAGTATATGTAGAGCATATGATAATCAAATGAAGAACATGCCAAATGAGAAACATACGAAGCAAGGGCGACGAAAAACATATATTTCATATACACGCAACATATACTGCGATTGTGAATTTACGATAAATAAATACCATCCCATCAATACAGCCATTAAAAGCTCCAAAAACTCCCAATCCATGCGCCCACCTTCCTCTTAATGCGCGTCCGCCATATCCACCATCAACCTTAGGAAATCGTCGTACTGTCTCGGAGAGTACATCATCAGCGCATGCAATTGTCCGATCTGGCGCCAACTTCCGCGACCGAGAATTGTGCAACGGGGAGAAGGCGATGGAGTCCACCATCGAAAAATCTCCCTAACCGTCGTAAATCGTCACTCGTACACCATCAGCACGCTCGAGAAGCCGGTGGTGATGAAGAACTTGGCGAAGCCGCGTAGTGCACCATCAGCACACTCGATTTCTCCCAGCAACGGGTTATCGAGGTGCCCCGAACAAAGCATGAATTTCCCATGAATATATGCAATTATTTGTAAATCATGTAGTAGAGATATAAATTTCCCATGAATTGTCCTTCTTAAAGTATGGGCTGGACTCCAAGCAAATAGGTAATAAGGTCCATTATTGTGCATTTTGACAACCCAGAGTGTCTAGGCCGCTTTATCCTTATTGGGTCCAAGCCCAGTTACCTTATCTCGATAGACGTTGAACCCTAGATACCCTCACGCGTGAATCACGTGACAATAATCATCATCAGAAAGAAAAAAAGGCACGTATCGCGCCGTGTTTGTTAAGCTCGAAGAGTAATATCGCAGGACTTGTTTCCACCGTTGATTACTCTCCATGTCATCGATCCGTAAAGATGTCCCTAATCAACGGCTCAGATCTACCCCTCTCCTCAGAGGACACTCCTCCGTTTCTTCCTCTTTTCTCCCACTATTTTTTTTTTCTTCATTATATTTTCCAAAAAAAAAAAAGAAAAAAAAGAAATATATTGAACGGAAGAACTTCCGGTGAAAAATCATGGCGGTGTATGAAGAGGAGAAAATATTCGAGCAGGTAATGGACGTAGAAGACGACGGCGACGAGGAAGAGGAAGAGGGGGTGGAGGAAGAGGATGACGACGACGAGGAGGAAGTTCTGAACAGCGGCGGAGGTAGGGCGCCTGTAGCTTCGGTTGACGGAGACGATGAGGAGGAAGACGACGGAGAGAACGAAGACGACGACGGAGACGATGACGACGACGATGACGACGACGACGACGACGATGAAGATGAGGAGGAAGAGGACAGCGACAACGAAGAAGACGAAGAAGAAGAAGAAGAGGTAATTTTTATTTTTTTTTTATTTCTTTTAACTTCTCGTTTATTTTTCGGTGTTAACAAGCTGTTTTGAAGTAAATTTTAGTTGTTTTGGGTTTTTTATTGCATCAAGTGAAATTTATTCTTGGGAAGCAGTTCAAAAATTTGGAGTTTTTGGAGTAAATATGAAAATTCTGGTTCATGATTGAGCTAATGAGTGCTAGTGTTTTCGTTATTCCATAGCTTTATTAGTTTTATCTATGAACTTTGTATTTTTTTTGTGTAATTTTTTGTTGGAACTGGTCAGATCTGGAGCTTTTTTGGTATATACGATAGCTAAATACATGTTTCAACTTGCAGAACTTATTTTATATGCTCTTGCTGGTACTGGTTGTTGTGTTGGTCGTGTTCTTGTTGAAACTAGTTAGATCTAGTTTTTTTAGATGTTATTTGTCAAAAGTTACAACTTGATTATATATTATTTTGTGGGAGCCCAAAATCTTGAAAGTTTGTTCTTTTAGAACAGACAAATAACCATCTTTTATGGGAGATATATAGTACTTTTCTTGAAGTACCTTCAAAGATCTTTATTACCTTGTGACTTGGTATAATCTAGATTTCAGGTTTCCCAAATTGCTGTTGTCAGTGTAACATTTTTTTTTTATTTTTGTATTTTTTTTGTTCTTTCACATGATTGGATTTGTTTTATTGTAGCTTCTTCTGGTGGTAGGGTATGTGGTATGATGAATATGGTGTTTATTTTCCTTGTATCTCCTCTGGTTTGGTAGCTACATGAATGTTGTGATTAAATTTATGGCTTCTTTTTGATGTATAGTTTATAATTAGTCATTGGTAGTTACATTTTCAATGTTGAGGCCATTGATTTTGTATTTGAATTTGTACTGTTGAGAAAAATCTAAGATGTATAGACCAATTTGATCTAGTACACATTGGCCTTGTGTCCTGCCTCACTATCCCTATTCCATCTGAAAGTTTGCTATTTGTTTATTGCATCGAACTCTACATTTTTATGTTCTACTGAGAAAATTGAGGTTTTGTCTGGATTCTTGAAATGATTTCAATTGGCTGTTTCAGTATTTGTTTTCACATATTAATAATATCTCCAGACTATTTCCGACTATAAATTGATAGTCTTTGTTGGTTGTGTTCTTCATTTTTCTCTGAGTTGTATTTGTGATAGTTATACAAAAAATTTACATATGCTGCTCTTAGGGCGATCTTGGGACAGAGTACCTAGTGAGGCCGGTGGGCCGTGCTGAGGACGAGGAAGATGCCAGTGATTTCGAGCCACAAGAAAACGGTGAAGAGGATTTTGAGGAGGGAGATGAAGATGATGATGAAGATGATTCGGGCGGAAAACTCGAGGCCCCACCAAAGAGAAAGCGCTCGTCCAAGGATGATGACTCGGATGACAGTGATGGTGGAGAGGATGACGAGAGACCGTCCAAACGATAAGTGCATTGTGGTCCTGCCACAACTCAAACCAACATCTCAAAACCTTCTTCGTATTGGTTACAAGTCATTGTGGGCATCTTTTTCTCTGTAATTGCTTGGTAACTTAGTTGTTAGTGTCTAATGTCTCCTTTCGAACACATCTTTTTCCGTTGACTTTCTAGGTTAGACTTGTGTAATTCTCAAGTACTATTAAGTTTTTAGCTCTGGGTGAGTACTTGGTTAGGTTTCATTAGTTTGTAGTGATTAAGAGTTTTTCTGAATGGATTATTGGTGATGGGTATTATCTTATGGTTGATGTGTTGCCATTTTAGATATGTGTTCGTCTGAGTTTTGGTTACTCAATTCTTGAATAAAGACATGGCCATGGGTCACTTGGCCTGGAATCGACACGAACTTGGCCTAGTTAGACCCGTTGACATAATGGCTATACCATGCCCTTTCGGCAAAATATGGGCTTTGAAGTTTTGAATTTGTTGTGATACGTACCACACTTGTGTAATACACGGGTGATTAAAATAAATTATTTTTTTCACAAAATGTAGAACTACAATGATTTACATAATAATATAAAAAATAAAGATAAAAAATAATAATAAAATAAAAATAGAAATTGTAATATTATTTTAAATTTTGAAAAACTTCTCGGTATACAACGTTATTAGTTCGATTTACAATATTCCCATTATTGTCGCAACAAAGAATTTTCAAACTTCTTCTGCTCTTAACTCTAGATATTGTAACATAAAGTTGACCATGACTGAATACGGATTTAGGTAGGTACAACCGAACGTTAGACAATGTTTGTCCCTGACTCTTGTTAATGGTCACTGCAAAGCACACCAAGAGGGGAAACTGTCTCCGTTGGAATTTGAATAGCAATCTAGCATCAGACGGACTCAACAACATTCGTAGAATAAGGATTTTACTACCAATATTACCCCCAGATAAAATCTCCGCTTCAATAACGCGATCACCAAGTTGAGTGATGACCAACCTGGTGCCATTAAATAAGCCAGAAGATTGATCCATGTTTTGAATCAACATAACAGGTACACCAACCTTCAATTTCAGGATATGATTTGGAAAGTCAGAGCACATGATTCCATTCAGAAAAGTCTGTTGTGTACATTGAATGCTGTTTGTTTGAATCAACGAAGCTCTTACATATGCTGTCAGAGCTAAGATAAGTACGTTCTTCACCGGGGATCATTGACATAATAAAATCATTAACAGATTCAACATTATTATTCGTCGGTGCAAATATAACCCTCTCTTCGAAGAGTGATGGATCATAAATATTGCTAAGTAATGAGGGATATGTACTTTCAACAATAGCTGTATGATGATCATCTGCACAGTGTATTAGTATGTCGTGAGGAATATCGACTAACATTTCTCCATCAACTTCAACACTAATTTGGCCATCTCCAACTTTTATGATCCACTCAGAGAACTCTTTAATTTCCTCAGCAGTGGCTTGAGATTTGGCTGTCCAACATAGTATAGCATATATACAAAAATGTGAACAGAGAATATAAACAATATGTAAAGAGAGTATTCAAACCCAACAGAAAAATGGAAACCTAAGACAACTTGTTTTAAGTTCATTTAACAATCACAAAGAGATAGAATAAAAATAAAAGGAAATGAATCAATGTACATAAACAGGGAGTACTGTTACCTCTTTCACAAAGAAATGGATGTCAATTATAACCCAACTTTCATCATAGATTCTGTAAACAATGGCAACAAAGAGTATATTAACAGAGTGAGTATTTCACATAAACAGAGTATATAAACAAACTTCATGTAAACAGAGTAGTTAAATAGATTATAGTAAAAGAGTTTCACATAATTCCAACATTACTAGTACACCACGCGCGATGCGCGGCTTGATATTATAAGTGATGTGCATAATAATTTAAATAAATAAAAAATTATTTAAGAATTCTATATAAATAATAAAATATAAAATAATTCTTTGGTTTATCACATCTTAAAATGTTCATTAAAAAATCATAACTCAACAAATAATATATGTGTGTGATTGAGCAATATAATTTAATTTTGCTTCAAATTTTTAAAATTAAATTCATTAAACTTAAAAAACTTATATGTGATATTCAACGAATAAGGTATTTGTCACATTGATTCTCTGATTTTGTTTTATATAATTGTCTCTTTAATAAAATAGTTTTCATCGAACAAAATAAAGCCAATATTACTATTATACAAATAAACTGCTACACAAATAATTGAAGTTAACATATGCGAGTCAATTAGAATTAAGAAGCATAAACTAAATACTTAATAAATAAATACAAAAGGGACTCAAATTTGGTTCTCATATAATTAGTTTTAAATTAGGCACACATTTTATAATTTATTAGAAAAATAAACTCAACAATTTATATTTTAGTATGAAAAGTGTGGTGGTGATATGATAATATTGTGCATAATGGATCACTTTTGGTGAAGTTACAGATAGACGCGTTAATTGTTAAATGTTTAGGTTAATAACATATTACTCCCTTTTTCACTTGGGATTCATGAGATACGTAATTTACTTTTTTTCTTAGAAATGTATTTTGAAAGAATTTCGGTAAAATAATAAGAAAAAAATATTTAAATTATACTGTTATTTTAGTATTTATGTAATATCATTTAAATATTTTTTTCTTATTATTTTACCAAAATTCAGTCAACGTACATTTCTAAAAATATAGTAAATTATATTTCTCATAAATCCCAAGTGAAAAAAAGGAGTAATTGAATTGACCTGAACATTTAACGATTAACGAGTCTAGTAAATTGTGTTGCACTTTTATCTACTACGACGGTTCAGTAGTGATTTTATTTGTTTTGTATTGACTTAAAAAAAATTGTGTTATATGAATAAAAATTTAACAATAATGAACATAATATGTTATTTTATTCATAAAAAAATTGTTACGTAATTATAGATTGATAAAAAGTTAAATTTTTTATCAATAATGAACATTTTATGAATAAAATATGTTATTTTATTCACAATATGTTATTTTATCAATAATGAACATAATATTAACAAACTTTTAAAATGATGCTTCCACACAAATAATCTAAATAACGGGTCTTACATATAATATAGTATCTTTTAATGATCATATTAACTTTTCTGAAGATCATTTCAAGATATACTACTTGAGATTTTCTTTGAAAAATAATCTAAACTAAAAGAGAATGTGTTATTTGTTTTGAAAAAGAAAAATATATAATATATAAACAGAAATAATGTAAACTTGCAAGTTCATAATAATATTTTTTTAATAAAAACTAACTCTTTATTTATGTCTAAAAAATTATGTTACTCACTAAGGGAAGAAATGGAAAAAATAAATAAAATTTAGAAGGCAAATTCTTAATAAATTAATATTTTGAAATTAAGCCTTTACAACAAATAATTTATTGATGTTGTTTAAATTATCTACATAGGATTTAACATATTTATTTGGAGTGCACGTTTTCAATGTGTTATTATGTATTTACTGTTTTGGTTATGTAACTAAATCTTCAAAATTTTATTGTTAAGTAAAAGTTATCCACCATTTTTTAGACATATTTTTGCTGGTTTGCACCTAGACTTAATAAACCTATAGATGTATTTATTTTTTATTTATTTTTAACAATATGTCTATTGTATTTTAATAAACTATATTATATGTAAGACCTGACTTTTAGAATATTTGTCATCGTTCTCTCATTGCATCTTCTTTCTATTTATTTTGTTTATATGCATAATATGTTTTAGTACAAACACGTCGATCTCATTAACATAAATGAAGTTTTAAAAGAAACATAATTTTTATTGATATTCCAATTGTATAGATATGTTTATACCTTTAATTTTGAGAATAGCAGTTAATATGTTATAATTTTATGTTTAGTTATTATAAATTTTTCACCGAAAAATTTACTCAATGAATTAACATAAAAACATCATATAAAAATGACATATTTTAATCTTTGCATTTTATTAACTTTTATTTTGTTGCATTATATAACTAACCATGTTAGATTTTATATTATGTGATTAAGAATCTATACTTTCAAAATGACCCACGATTGTGAAAGTTGTATAATTAAAAATAAGATAACATTAGGTCCTTATATTGTGGTTATATAAAGAAAAGATATATGGTTTTGTAATTGAAAAAATCCAAAGTGGACGGTTTTAGAAATTTAATGGATAAATCGATTGAGCATAATTAATAAATTTTTTTGACATTACTCATTATTTTGTTTTTGTTGATAAATTATTAATTGTATTGAGATGTGTAGAATTAGCCCAACATTCTAAACAGTTGCCAACTTATTTAACATTCCCAATAATATTATATCTATTATACACAATTCCAATAGGGCTTTAAATTACAACATTTATTGAATTGATCAAACAATTAATGAGTAACATTTAATATATAAAAAAATTCCAGCTACCTTGCTTTATATAACACAAATTTAATGTGTATTTGTTGTAATATAGATTGACAATATGTAAGATAGACAAGATAGAAACAGTAGAAGAAGAAGAGAATAAGAGAAGAGATACGCCGTAAAAAAACCATCCTCTTATTCATTCACTTGAGCCCTATATATAAGGGAATATAATGTACATGAGTAAATACCTAATGGGCTCCTGGCCCATGCCTACAAATCCTATATCTAGGTAATGTCCACAACTTAATATTTACAACACTCCCCCTTGGACATTACCGCGTCATGTCCATGCCTCGTTAAAAACCACGCTACAAAACCCAGTGGGAAAAAATAGTCGAGGAAAAGAGTACATGACACATGCAAATTTAAGTGTTACACTTGTTGCCTCGTTAAAAACCTTACTAAGTAAAACCCAATGGGAAAAAACTTAGTCAAGGGAAAAAGAGTACAACACCGGCCAACGGGGCCTAATCTTCAGGATTATAATTAACCTTCCGGGTTCGATCTTCGAGATTTATTTA